CGGATCTAAAAAACAAGGGAACTGTATCTCTGTTGCGCATCGTGATCTTCATTTTTTTTCATTCGTCTCCTCTTCCTCCTTTCTTCTTTTCTCGTTTATATTTTCTACTTTCGGATTTTATTACTTCGCAGAAATTCACTCAAGACCCCGTTCGCTACAAAAAAAAAGTAAAAGCGTGTCTTGATTTGCCATTTATCTTAATAATCAGCGAGAAACAAAAGTCAAGGCGATTCTATAGACAATCTGATTCTATGAACGAGTTGACGAAACGACGATGATTACTCCTATTTTTTTCGTTCAATTCTTGATATCTTCATTTCCAGTTCGTCCCCCAAACCTGATCCAACACGATAACAAATACAAAAAGAAAAGAAAATGAACGAAAGAAAATAAAATTCCATGAACTCGATGCGAAAGTCGGTCTCGATTCTACTTCCGAGACGATCATAGAAGGCAAACTACGATAATTATTCATTTTTTAAAATTCTCTTAATTCTTCTATTTCTATTTTTGTTTTCAAAACCTGACTCAAAACGCTAACAAATCTCAAAAAAAAAAAAAAAAAAAAAAAAAAAAACGAAAATAACATTCCATGAACTTGATGCAAAAGTCGATTTCACTTTCATTTGTTCCAAGACGATCAGAGAGAACACGATTCACAACATAACTGCGATAATTATCGTTTTTTTTTCTTAATTCTTTCTTTTCATTCCTCCCTAAACCTGACTCAGCACGAAAACAAATAAAAATAGAAGAAGAAAAGAAAGAAAGAAAAATATACGTACACATATATATAAACGAAAGAAAATCAAATTCCATGAACTCGATGCGAAGGTCGGCCTCGATCCTCTTATTCCAATCTTATTTCTTCCAAGACGATCATGGAAGACGATTCACAAGATGACGGGGGACTTCTGAGAAAAATACGTCGCCGGAAGGGAATCCTAAATCGTCTAAGCTTCTAAAATTTGTCTCTGAAATCCTTCTAGGAAATTGGTCAAGTCGAACTCCTTGCGGCGGAGAGTGAAGGTCACGTGGGGACTATCGATTCGTTTTTGTTTTTTTTACGTGTTTTCTTGTTCTTAGTTTTTTTTTCTTTTCTCGTTTCTTTCTTCTTTGTCTTTTTGTTTTATTTTAATTCTTGTTTATCTGTTTCTTTATTTCTTTTTTTCTCTCTCTCTTTTTTCGCTTCTAATCTCCGATGAAATCATTCAAGACGCTTTTCGTTTTTCATTTCATTCGGCCTCTGGTGCTCCAAATTCCAGTGGACGTCAGTGACTTCAGTGAACTTTAGAGGATTTTCAGCAGACTTCACCAGATTTTGCTAGACTTCAGGAGTAGATTTAAAGGACTTCAGTAGTTTTAAGGGAACTTCAGCGGACTTACGGGAACATTAACAAAAAAAAAAAAAAAAAAAAACATCATTACACTTCACGAACTTCATCGATCTTCAGCAAACTTCAAAAGAATTCAGCGAAATTCATCGGAAATAAAAGTACATCGTTAGCACATACAAGCAAGTGATATTTCTAAGCACAATTTTTCTTTCTCTTTCCTTCTCAATATGAAAAACATTTATCACTTAAGCACTTTCACGAGTTCCTTGAATATACTTGAATTTTATTACCTGGAACGAGCGTATAATTCGTCGATAATGAAACGAGAAATCGAATAGAAACAAGAATAACAATAAAAGGTGTTAATATTATTATTATTTTTTAAAATTATTTTCATTTTAGTTTGATTTTCATGGAAGTGTCAAGAAATCATTTATGTTCGGGAATCATCTTGATAGATTGTACAGAACTGTGAATTTTTTGTTACATATACATTTAGATAGACGTGGAAGTAGGTAGATAGATAAATAGATATATAGACAGATAGATTGATAGATAGATAGACTGATTAATAGAGTGAAACATAAATGTATATACAACTAAGAGGCTAAATAGATAGATAGACATACATACATATAAATAGATAGATAGAAATCCTGATTGAATGATAGACAGATAGATAGATAGACAGCTAGATAAGTAGATAGATTGATAGACAGATAGATAGATAGACAAACATAGTAGTAAAAATAGTAGAAATAGTAGAAAATACAAAGAGACCAACAGCAAGGAAAAATGTAGCGTCGCGGTAAAATGAAACAATTTAACGCCATTTTATGGTCCCCCCCCCCCCCCCCAATTGAGTCAGTGACCCGACGAAGGTCAAATTTTAGTTACACTGAGTACCAATTCATCCTTTTCTTGTCCGGTTACATGGCCTTGATTTTATTATTTTTTTCCTTCTTTATCTGTTCTTTTTCTTTGTTTCTTTGTCTTTGTATGTATCTGTCTTTCTCTCTCTATCTCTCTCTCCATTTTTTTTCTCTCTCTCTCTCTGTTTCCTTCTCTCTCTCTCTCTCCCCTCTCCATCTCTCTCTCTCCCCTCTCCATCTCTCTCTCTCCCCTCTCCCTCTTTCCCCCTCCCCATCCCCCCCCCCCTTCTCTTTCTTTACCTGTCTTACACTCCCATCTCCTTCCATCCTTCCATCCTTCCCATAATCTCAAAATACCCCTTTTTCTCATCTACACACTGAACGTACCCTCCCTCCCCCCTCCCCTCCCCCTTCCCCCCTTCCCCCCCAAGACGCCCTTAGGTTGCAAGGAGTCCACAAGGTTAATAGGATAACCTTGTAAGTCTTCAAGGTCAGTTAGGAGGATTTTCTGGAGGGCAAGAAAGTGCGAAGATGATGTTCCTCCGCATCGTCTTAAGGGGGGTGGGGGGGGGGAAATTTTTCAGGAGAGGCGATTTTCACCCTTAAAGACGTTATTGATCCGTATGCGAAAGGGGATAAAAAAACACCCTTAAAAAAAACACGGAATTTCAGCTTTAAGGGACGTTTCAAACCCTTAAGGACGTATTAGGTAGCTTGCAAGACCCAATTCCCATCTTTAAAGACAGTTGGCGGAGTTGTTCCTCGAAGAAAGAACAATACATCACATGGTATTGCAGGACAGAATGGCCTGGGAGTATCATCAAATCAAGCGAGAAAGAGCTGCCGTCTGATAGATAGATAGATAGACTGAGAGAGAGAGAGAGAGAGAGAGAGAGAGAGAAAGAGAGAGAGAGAGAGAAAGAGAGAGAGAGAGAGAGAAAGAGAGAGAGAAAGAGAGAAAGAGAGAGAGAGAAAGAGAGAGAGAGAAAGAGAGAGAGAGAGAGAGAGAGAGAGAGAGAGAGAGAGAGAGAGAGAGAGAGAGAGAGAGAGAGAGAGAGAGAGAGAGAGAGAGAGAGAGAGAGAGAGAGCAAGAGAGAGAGCGAGAGAGCGAGAGAGCGAGAGAGAGAGAGAGAGAGAGAGAGAGAGAGAGAGAGAGAGAGAGAGAGAGAGAGAGAGAGAGAGAGAGAGAGAGAGAGAGAGAGAGAGAGAGAGAGAGAGAAGGTGAAGTCCAAGGTTCTTCAGTCAAGGTCGAGGCAACAATGGGTTACCGCGCGTTGGCAGTAATGGCCGTGACTTTGGCGAATACCTTGTTATGGGGATCTTTCTTCTTCTTCTTTCTTCTTCTTCTTCTTCTTCTTCTTCTTCTTCTCTCTCTCTCTTTCTCTCTCTTTTTTTCTTTCTCTCTCTCGCTCTCTTTCTCTCTCTTCCTCTTCCTCCCCATCCTCCTCCTCTTCCTCTTCCTCCCCCTTCTCCTCTTCTTCCTTTTCTTCCCCCTTCCTCCTCCTCCTCCTCCGCTTCCTCTTCCTCTTCTTCCTCCTCTTCTTCCCCTTCCTCCTCCTCCTCCCCTTTCTCCTCTTTCCCCTCCCCCTTTCCTCCTTCACCTATCCCCTCCTCCTCCTCCTCCTTCTCCTCATCCCCCCTTCCTTCTCCTCTTCCTTCCCTTTTCCTCCTTCTCCTCCTTCCCCTCCCCGCCTTTCTCCCCCTTCTTCCTCCTCCTCCTTCCTCCTCCTACTACTCCTTCCATAAATCCTCCTCCTCCTCATTCTTCTCCTCTTCCTCCTACCATAAATCCTCCTCCCCCTCCTTCTCCACCCTTCCTCCTCCTTCTTCTCCTCCCCCTTCTCCCTCCTTCTCCTCCTCCTCCTCCTCTTCCTTCTCCTCCCCCTTCCTCCTCCTACTCTTCCTTCCATAAATCCTCCCCCTCCTCCTCCTTCTCCACCCTTCCTCCTCCTCCCTCTCCCCCCCTTCCCCCTCCTTCTCCTCCTCTTCCTCCTCCTTCTTCTCCTCTTCCTCCTCCTCGCATTCCCATGTCGCCATCTCTCATTTCCATCGCAACAATTTACATAATGGTAAACAAGCCATTTTTGGCGCGTCCTCTAATCTCTCTTTTCTTTTCATTTGTCTTTTTTTTCTATGCCATATGAGTGAGTATTAATGACTTGACATCTTTTCCCGGTGCCTGTGACAAGGCACGTCTGGAGAGTACACGGTGCTTGCCTTCGCTTAAACGACTGTGGCATTTTCTTTTCTTTGTTGCAACACGGGCACATCCCCGCTTCAAGGTCGTATAGATCCGCCCATATTGAAACACGTATGTACAGACACGTGCGTACACACCCACTTATGTACCGTAGAGGGACAGTACGCACGCACACAAGCATACGTGCAGACACAAACTTTGACACACACACACGTGGTGATGAATATATAAACGGTACAATCACACACACACACACACACACGAGGATATAAAAGCATAAAAACACACGAACAGAACACGCGAAACACGCGAAACCCGAACGAAATCCAGAGAATAAAAACAGAAGAAGAAAAAACAAACAAACTTACCGACATCTTTGTACAATCAGATGAAGAAACAATTAAATAAAAATAAACACACACATATGCACACACGAGGATATAAAAGCATAAAAACACACGAACAGAATGACACACACACAAAGACACACGAAACCCGAACGAAACCCAGAAAATATAAAAAAAGAAAGAAAAAAACAAAACAAAAAAACAAAAAGCAAAACAAAACAAGACAAAACAAAACAAAACTTACCGACATCTTTGACCTCCGCCTCACACACCACCGCCCTCGCCTCGCTACACCCACTGCCGCTGAAGAAGAAGAACCCGCTGTCGTACTGGGAACTCATCGTGGGCGCCAGGGGGAAGGACTTCTTTAGGATCACGCAGGAGGGAGAGCTGGGCGGGATGGGCGTGCGACCTCGGGTGGTGGTGTTCCAGCCTGTGGGAGAGGGGGGGGAGGGGGGTTGAGAGAGAGAGGGTGGGGAAGGGGGGAAGTGCGTTGGGGAAGGGGGTGGGTGGGTGAGGGAAGGGGGAGGGTGGGTGGGGGAAGGGGTTGAAAGAGGGTGGGGAAGGGGGTGAGTGGGTAGGGGAAGGGGTGGAAGGGGGTGATGGGGTTAGGGTGGGGGTAAGGTAGGGGAAGAGGGAGGGAGTATCGAAAGGGATGGAGGTGGGTGGGGGGGAGGGAGTGTTGAGGAGTGAGGGAGGAAGGGGTGTGGAATGGGTTGAGTAGGTGGGGGTGGGGAGGGGTTGAGGTGGGGAAGGAGATAGGGAAAAGGGGGGATAGTGTATAGAATGGTCCGTATGGCATGCAGATCATTGTGCTAAAATACGATACAAAAGTGGACAAAACATAACAATACAAAACAAAGAAAACAATTAAACAAAACAACAACAAAAAACTGAATACAAACACACAAGAAAAACCCTCAAAACACAAACTACACAAAACAACCCCTCCCCCTCCTCCTCCCCTTCCTCCCACCCTCCCAACCAAGAACCAACGCCCGCACACCCACCAGGCCACCAACGGGCGTACTTGAGGCTCCCCAGCGTCGTCTCCCACACCCACGTCTTGAGGCCGGCCACGCTGACGTCGCCCGCGTCGGTGTAGAACTCGACGTGGTCTCCGGAGCGGGAAAGGAGCTCGGACACGAAGCTGTGCTCGTCCTGTGGCGGAGAGTTAGTGGAGGTAGAGAATTAACGAGGTTAAAAGGGTGGGTGGTAAGGAGCTTTAAGGTGCTTTAAGGTGTTTTTTAAATAGTTTTAAGGTGGTTTTAAGGGGTTTGAAGGTGGATATTAATAAGTAGTATTAATATCCTTTTTGCAAACATACTCAAAAAGTGAATAACTTGAGGATGAACTAATTAATGACAAATAATCATCATTCATCACAAATAATGCAAATTCAGATTTTTTTTCGCCTTCATTTTTGCATCTATTTTTATCAATTTCTTCCCCCCCCCCCCCCCCCCCCCGCACCTGGAGACCGACAGTATGATCTGTGACCTTGAGCTGAACTTGTTCTGAACAGAGGAACATAAAAAGAAGAAAAAAAATATTGGTCCATTCTGAGAGATAACTGTTAACCCTGATCTTGACAGTGAACCAATTCTCAAACACAATACAAACGGATAACTTTGAACAAAAGCGTAACAAAAACAAAACTCGTTTTGGCGCTAAAACAAATATAAACGGAGGAAGAGAGAGAAGGAGGGAAGGGTAGAGAGGGAGAGAGTGAGAGAAAGAGAAAGAGAGAGAGAGAGAGAGAGAGAGAGAGAGAGAGAGAGAGAGAGAGAGAGAGAGAGAGAGAGAGAGAGAGAGAGAGAGAGAGAGAGAGAGAGAAAGAGAGAGAGAGAGAGAGAGAAATAAACAGAGAGAGAGAGAGAGAGAGAGAGAGAGAGAGAAATAAACAGAGAGAGAGAGAGAGAGAGAAAGAAAAAGTTGTTTACATAAACAAAGCATGTGTTGATGCCGTCACAATGGAATGTTGTCGAGGTTTAACGTTCGAGTTTAGTTTTTGAACAGAAGAAAAAGAATCATATTCCTGAATGATTTTGAATGTGAATGAAAAAAAAAAATCAGTCACTGGGGAAATGAACAAAAACGAATAATGAAAGAACACCGAAATCTTTCAATGGACGAAGAAGAAGAAGAAGAAGAAGAAAGAGAAGAAATCTTCCAGTATTTATTATAGATAAAGATATTATTTTGGGCGTCACCTTTGAAAAAAAAAATCCCAAATCATTCAAAATATCAACATGTAAGAACAGAACTGCAAAAGAAAGAAAGAAAAAAAGAAAAGAAAAACAGGAACAAAGAAAAAAGAAAGAAAAACAAGAATAACGAAAAAAAGAAATAAACAAGAAACAAAGAAAAAAGAAGAGAAAAAAATATCCTTCACTTTTTTATGGAAAAATATATTATTAGATATTAAAGATAAAAAATATTACTCTGGGCGTCTCACGAAGATTCACCAGGATGTGAATGCAGTCGAGACGAGAACGAAGCATATGCAAATCATTTTAGGATTTAGTTTTTGAAGAAATAAATAAAAAAAAGTTATTGACTTCGAACGACAGCTGGTCTTCTTGTTGAATGAGGTGTTTGGCAATTGCATTTTCATCTTTTGTGTTTATTCGTTGGTGTTGTTTTCATTGTTATTGCTATTATCATTATTATTATTATTATTATTATTACTATTATTATAATTATTATTATTATTATTATTATTATTATCATCATCATCATCATTATCATGTTTATTTTATCATTGATATCATCATTATTATTATTATCATTATTATCATTATTGCTATTATTGATATCATTATCAGCATCTTTATCATCATCTTCTTTAATATCATCATTATCATTTTTATCATTATCATCATCATCATTATCAATATCATTATCATTACTTATTATTATCATTATTGATATCATCATGATCATTGCTGTCATTATCATCATCACCATCATCATCATAATCATTATTACTATTATTATCATTATCATTGTTATTATCAATTTTACATATTTCATCATCCCAACCATTCTCATTATCATCACTTTTGCTTATGCTTTAAATCCCCTCTAACTAGGTCAACTCAAAGTCATAAGATCAACTTAAGGTCAAGATCAATTCAAGCTCAGGGTCAACTCAAAACCAAAGCCAACTCAGTGTCGAGTAAAGGTCAAAGTCAACTCAGTCTCAATAAAAGTCAAAGTCAACTCAGTCTCAATAAAAGTCAAAGTCAACTCAAGGTCAAAGTCAACTCAGTCTCAATAAAGGTCAAAGTCAACTCAGTCTCAATAAAAGTCAAAGTCAACTCAAGGTCAAAGTCAACTCAGTCTCAATAAAGGTCAAAGTCAACTCAGTCTCAATAAAGGTCAAAGTCAACTCAAGGTCAAAGTCAACTCAGTCTCAGTAAAGGTCAAAGTCAACTCAGTCTCAATAAAAGTCAAAGTCAACTCAAGGTCAAAGTCAACTTAGTCTCAATAAAGGTCAAAGTCAACTCAGTCTCAATAAAAGTTAAAGTCAACTCAAGGTCAAAGTCAACTCAGTCTCAATAAAGGTCAAAGTCAACTCAGTCTCAATAAAGGTCAAAGTCAACTCAGTCTCAATAAAGGTCAAAGTCAACTCAGTCTCAATAAAAGTCAAAGTCAACTCAAGGTCAAAGTCAACTCAGTCTCAGTAAAGGTCAAAGTCAACTCAGTCTCAATAAAGGTCAAAGTCAACTCAAGGTCAAAGTCAACTCAGTCTCAATAAAGGTCAAAGTCAACTCAGTCTCAATAAAAGTCAAAGTCAACTCAAGGTCAAAGTCAACTCAGTCTCAGTAAAGGTCAAAGTCAACTCAGTCTCAATAAAGGTCAAAGTCAACTCAAGGTCAAAGTCAACTCAGTCTCAATAAAGGTCAAAATCACCTCGAAGTCAACTCAAATCCAACTCAAGGTCAACTCAAGGCCCACCCACCTGCGACTCGAGGCTGACCAGCTCTCCTCCTCGATCCCGGCAGAGCGTCCTCCCGGCATCTCTCGGAGCCCTGTAGTTGTCAAGGACGAGGTAACACGACTCCTTCCACCGCTGCCACTCGCGCCCCTGGTCCGAAGGAGGACATCTCGAGGAGGACGCCTGTTTGCACCTGCGGGGGGGAGGGAGAGGGAGGAGGGAGGTTAGAGTCGGTGGAGTGGGTAGGGAGGGGAGGGTGAGAGGGGAGAAGGGTGGGGAGGAGGGAGGGAGGGAGGGAGGGAGGGAGGGAGGGAGGGAGGGAGGGAAGTGAGAGTGGGAAGGGTGTGGGAGGGAGGGAGATGAGAAAGAAAAGGATAAATGATAGGGAGGGAGGAAGGTGAGAGTGAGGGAGAGAGAGAGAGAGGGAGGGCCATAAGGAAGGACAAATGGATGAGAGGGAGGAGGGAAGGAGGGAAGGAGGGAAGTAAGGAAAGAGGGAGGGAGGGAGGGAGGAAGGGAGGGAGGGAAGGGAGGGAAGGAAGGGAAGGAAGGAAGGAGAGAGGGAGGGAAGACGGGACGGAGGAAGGAAGGAATGAGGGAAGGGAGAGAGGGAGAGAAGGAAGGAGGGAAGGGAGGGAGGAACAGAGGGAGGGAGAGGAAGAGACCCAACCACACAAAACCCAATCAATCTTCCCTCCGACAACCAACAGCCGAGCCAACCCACCTGATGGAGACGACCTTTGTATCGTCAGGACAAGAACCGCACGGCGTGAGGTTGCACTGCCTGATGGAGGAGGCGCCCGAGGGACATCCCAGCTGCAGGACCTCAGAGCTTCCTCGGGTCGCCGGCACCATGCCCTGGCCGCCCTCGTACCTGGGGGGGCGGGGGATTATTATTATTATTATTATTATTATTATTATTATTATTATTATTATTATTATTATTATTATTATTGTCATTACCGCCATCATCAATACTACTGTTATTGTTATTAGAGAGAGAGAGAGAGAGAGAGAGAGAGAGAGAGAGAGAGAGAGAGAGAGAGAGAGAGAGAGAGAGAGAGAGAGAGAGAGAGAGAGAGAGAGAGAGAGAGAGAGAGAGAGAGAGAGAGAGAGAGAGAGAGAGAGAGAGAGAGAGAGAGAGAGAGAGAGAGATAGTGAGAGGTAGAGGAGAGAAAGAGAGAGAGAAAGAGAGAGAGAAAGAGAGGGAGAAAGATATATATATATATATATATATATATATATATATATATATATATATATAGAGAGAGAGAGAGAGAGAGAGAGAGAGAGAGAGAGAGAGAGAGAGAGAGAGAAAGAAAAAGAAAAAGAGAGAGAGAAAGAAAAAGAGAAAAAGAGAAAGAAAAAAACAAACAAACAGAAAGACAAACAAAGCAAACACACATTGACCTCAAGCAAAGATTAAAGATTCAGCATGCATTGTGTTCATCTACTTCACCCCAAAAATAACGGTTTTGTGTTTTCATTATTCTCTGTCAAATTAATTAACTAAAAGAACCGGTTAATAGACTTAATATTCACAGACACTCTTCATATATCGAGAACAAAGCACGGAAGACAATTAATGTTATAATTTAAGTCTCGAGCAATATCAATATAATTGGATGTTACTTTATCTCTGCAATAACAAAATTCATTGAATTGATTAAACCGAACCTGCAGCATTGCAACATACTGATAAGGAGTTTTGTTTTGCATCGGTAACAGGATTGTTAATAAATAACTGACTAGACAAGAACAGGAAAAGGAACAGTTATGTATTAACAACATCGTTATCAACAAGAACAATAACAACAATAATGATTATGATGGTGAGGATGGTGAGGATGATGATGATGGTGGTGGTGATGATGGTGATGATAATGATAATGATGATGATGATGATGATGGTGGTGGTGATGACGATGGTGGTGGTGATGATAATGATGATAGTGATGATGATGGTGAAGATGTGATGATAATATAAATAAGAACAAATATAATACAAAATTATAATCAGTTAATCAAATTCTCATTCGTGTTTATCAATATTCTATCATAAGGGTTTATCACTGTAACTTCTCACTCTCTACCATTACCATAAATCATGTTCATTCCATCCCCCCAAAATGATGTCACTTTTTTCCTCATAGCTTGCCATGAACTCACTCTCACTTTTCCGCACGATTTTATTATATACTTAAAATTAACATATCATTTTCACTCATATACCTCTAAAGAAGTCACACACACACTCATGAAGTCACATTCATGAAGTTACTCTCACGTAGTCACCATCACTCGTGACATCACACTCACTCTCATGAATTCACACACACTCCCATGAAGTCACACTCACTCATGGAGTCACACTCGCTCTTATGAAGTCACCATCACTCATGACGTCACACTCTCATGAAGCCACATTCACATTCATTCATTCATGAAGTCACCATCACTCATGAAGTCACACTCACTCTTATGAAGCCACATTCACATTCATTCATTCATGAAGTCACCATCACTCATGAAGTCACCATCACTCATGAAGTCACCATCACTCATGAAGTCACACTCACTCTTATGAAGCCACATTCACATTCATTCATTCATGAAGTCACCATCACTCACGAAGTCACACTCACTCACGAAGTCACACTCACTCTTATGAAGCCACATTCACATTCATTCATTCATGAAGTCACCATCACTCATGAAGTCACACTCACTCTTATGAAGCCACATTCACATTCATTCATTCATGAAGTCACCATCACTCATGAAGTCACACTCACTCTTATGAAGCCACATTCACATTCATTCATTCATGAAGTCACCATCACTCATGACGTCACACTCTCATGAAGCCACATTCACATTCATTCATTCATGAAGTCACCATCACTCATGAAGTCACACTCACTCTTATGAAGCCACATTCACATTCATTCATTCATGAAGTCACCATCACTCATGAAGTCACACTCACTCTTATGAAGCCACATTCACATTCATTCATTCATGAAGTCACCATCACTCATGAAGTCACACTCACTCTTATGAAGCCACATTCACATTCATTCATTCATGAAGTCACCATCACTCACGAAGTCACACTCACTCTTATGAAGCCACATTCACATTCATTCATTCATGAAGTCACCATCACTCATGAAGTCACACTCACTCACGAAGTCACACTCACTCTTATGAAGCCACATTCACATTCATTCATTCATGAAGTCACCATCACTCATGAAGTCACCATCACTCATGAAGTCACCATCACTCATGAAGTCACCATCACTCACGAAGTCACACTCACTCTTATGAAGCCACATTCACTCTTATAAATTCACACTCACTCATGACGT